GTTGGCTCGTTTTGAGAGGCTGCGGCAATCCTGAAATTTGATGCCATCAGATGTGATTTCTGCTTAGGCATCGTTTTTTCAAGATCACCTTAGACAAAAAAAAAATAGATGCTCATGGTACCCAGTAGGATCTTAATTCCCAAAATTCATGGCTTCAGAACCGTAGTTAAGCTAGAAGGCTTGAAATCTAGAGAACCAACTAACTTATCGAAGTTACCCATGTCCTCGTCTGAATTCTATTCAATTTTCAAAATTATAGTCGACGCTAGTTAGGTGGTGATACCTTTCACCTTTCAGAGAATTAAAGCACTTCTATAGCTCCTTTAAAAGGAAAGGGATTGTACTCTCTCAAACCGACCGTGATGTCTGACATCAATTCGAACTCACTTGACGGTTCCATCAGTATCTGTATAAGTGGCTTGATAGAGTCCGCCAAGGGTGTTGCTGATGATACCCGTATAAATTATCTTAATGTTACACGATAAATAGCCTAGTTAAGTTGAGAGGTAGTAAATAGTGATGCAAGAACGTTTTGGAAAACTTCTAACCTTTAGCAGGACTTCTTGATCCTTCTCTAGCCGATTTTTCAGTAGAAATTCCAACTTTTCTAGTCTTTCATGTTCTTTGATACTTTCTATTTCAAGTTTTTTGTCGCCCTGCAATAGGTCATTTCCTTTCTTCACTTACTTCTATTTATTAAATATTGCTTATTACATATCCTTTATTTTAAATTTGCAACTACAGGTACTCAAAAGGCTAAACAGAGTCGGGCCAGGTTTTGCCCCGAAACAGAAAGGATTCAGAAAAACCTAGTTCTCAACAAAAAAACATTCAAAGGCACGGAAGCCGAACCTGGTTTCAATGTCACAGGCCGCGAAATATAATTGTAGCGAATTCCGAAAAAAGAAAAAAAGATCCAAAACTCACCAAAAACAGTTCGCATTTATCTGGTATCACGGTGATATTCTTTGAGTTGAGTACAATACTTTTGGTTGGTTCGACTACCCTTAAGGAGATTCCTACTTGTCCATCAAATGTGAGATTCTTCTCAGGTGGGAAGTTTACGTAACCCGGCAGATAAGTTTTGATGCTCAGATCGTACAATACTGAAAAACAGTGATATTCAATTCGCACAAAGACTATCGGCCCATTTACTTCTGTTACTTTTTCTGACACTACTTTTACTGAGAGAACAGCAGCTTGGTCGTTTAGTAATGATAACTTCAGAGAAATTTCTACCAGATATGGACGCTACGTACGCCTGAGGCGTGCATGGAAGAGACCACTTGGAACAACCCTCCCCCTCCCCATCACCAAAAAGTTTTTCAAAATCTAAATATTCATGGCCTGCTGTGATTCAGTTCGGGAGGGCGAGTCAATGGGTAGTGAGAGCCAGGGAATACCTACATTTCGTAAGTGTGGCTTTTGGTTCAACGTGCACTTATTTACACTCCTGTCAACTAAGATTGTTTTGTTGTCATCACTAACGTCACTCCTATTTTGTGAAAAAGTGGGATGCATGGGCACACTTAGACTGTGACTGACACAACGTTAGCAGATTTTTTGTACTTGATTGAGTTGCCCTCAATCATTTATGTTATCATTTCACGTCAGGGAGCATGGGAGTACAGAAATAAAATGGAATGTATATGAAATTTCAGGAGGGAAGCGCAGAAGATTGTAGATGGTGTTAGGTTCGATTTTGTAGTCGTTCCACTCCTTATGGGTATTGCCTCAGGTGAATGGATTATGAGTTAAAAGTATAGAAAAAAGTAACAGACAAAGTGATTAGGCTAGGCTAGGCAGATCCCGTCCCTCTTGAAGTGCCTTTTGATATTCACTGTCTTTGTGTCCATAGATGTCTGACAGAATGCCGATCCATTCTTAACTGTGACAAGGCGAGTGAACAGGCTGGGGAGGAAGTAGATTCGATTCGAATACGGCAGTTATGAAAATGTGAACAGCTAGGCATCAATCGCGCCGGGGTCCATGAAAGGTGGNGGGTTTTATTATTGATACGCATCACACATTTGAAACTCAAGAGTAGGTAGAAGTTGACCCATATTTTCCTGTGGGAGAGTTGGGTATCATGAAGCAACTTCATACACTGAAGTAATAGTAGAAGGTAGCGTAGATAGATGGAAGTAAAGGCAACTTGGGGAGAAAGTGGACCCTGCGGCGGAGCAGGATGAGGCTAGGATGAAAAAGCAAAGAAGTAAGCGGTACTTGATGCAAGTGGCACTTTGATCAGATCTATCCTGAGATCCAGAGTTTCTGATATAAGTAGAGGCAGATAGTCCAATGTTTTTGATCAAAAGGTCCTCAATGTACCTATGAGATACAACTTTAGTACTTACACGGTTCTATGTTCCTTGGAAGACGCAGCTCTTGTGCAGAGGGTGAGTTATCATCAGCACCACGATCTCTGAAAAATTCTCTATGAAGCTGCATGTATACTTTTCCGATGTCAAAACGCTTACTTGTTCTTCTCAGTAGTATCATAAGCTTTCCTGGTAAAGTAGTATGTGAGCCCGATTGAAAGGCCAATCGAAGCAGCNTCCTAAGATCCAGAGTTTCTGATATAAGTAGAGGCAGATAGTCCAATGTTTTTGATCATAAGGTCCTCAATGTACCTATGAGATAGCAACTTTAGTACTTACACGGTTCTATATTCCTCGGGAGACGTAGTTCTTCTGCAGAAGGTGAGTTATCATCAGCACCATGATCTCTGAAAAATTCGCTATGAAGATGCATTTATACTGTACAGATGTCGAAACGCTCACTTGTTTTTCTCAGTAGTATCATACGCTTTCCTGGTAAAGTAGTATGTGAGCCCGATTGAAAGGCCAATCGAAGCAGCTACTAGAAATAACAAAAGCAGTAAGGTGATAGGCGTGAATTTTAACACTGTCCGTTTAGTCCATTGTACCGTCATCTGAATTATCGTTAGTAAAGTAAGGTAGTTGCTTGGGATCGATAAAAACGATCAATATCGAGCGCATTGGATGAAATATGGAGTGAAACTTTGAAGAAAATCGAAATTATTAAGTGTGAATGATCCTGCTAAGGAAAGAAATGTCTAAGGAAAACGATCGACTGCAAATCAACAAGAAGTCGACAAAGGAACTTTGGATTCGATTTGGTCTGATGAGAAGAGTAAATTTGGAGAAAATGATATAAAAAGTAAAATGCGTATGATGGGTATGAGTCATTAACAAATAGAACCAGACCACAGTCGATCACACACTACCGCCTACACCTAGAGAGGAGCTGTTCTGGAAACAAATGCCAGACAACACTGGTACCCGTGATAACAGTCAAAAATGGCCTGGCTAAATGTCTGTTCTGGCCTTCCATGGTTACGTCACGATCGTATTCCGTCAGTTTTTTCATCCACTTAGACTCTGAACTCGACAAATTTTTTTCCTAGGAGAGAGATAATGACGAGAGTAGCTGTCATGGTGCATGCAATCGAACAGCACTGTTCGATGGAAACGGTTAAAAGAGACCTCATCGGGAGCAATGAATTGTTCTGTTAAAGAAAAACTTGGTCATTACCAATGTAATGGCCACAGCCGTGCTCGTTATCCTCATTGAACGGGCACATTATGCGTTGTACCTAGTTTGTTGGGTTTTTCGCACCGTTCCTCCGATGATCGGTAGAAAAGAGTTTCGTAGTCCGGTCAGTCTGAGCAGTCATTTTTCATATAAGTTGCCTTACCTTGAGAAGGTAGCTTTTGAAAATCTCCGTGACTCAAGCTGAAAAAGTAGCAGGAAGGCAGCAAGCGAAGAGATGGGGCAAGTCGGACACTGCTATTTGCGTGGTGGAGATGACCGTAGTCCTATCTCAGCGGCTGTTATATCTGCCGTAATAATTCTTGAACATGACGTGTGTGGATCACAAGATACCTTAGCGGTCACGGCTTCGAAATTAGGTCACCTGGTGAGGCTAATGTCAAGTTGTTAAACGCTTGATCTCTGGATCTCCCAGTCGCTGCTGAAGATCCAATTTTTCCGCTACCACCGACCGCCTCTTCGGACAAGGATTCTTTGTTTCCCTTTTTCTGCTTATTAGTAGGAAAGAAGTTAAGTTCCTCCAATGGTAGCATGCGAAATAAGGAAAGGAAGGGTGCTGTTCAACAAGAATTTTTTCTATGAACTGGAAAAACCTAAAGACGATAAGGGAACAGTGTCTGAAGCATGCAAGGCCTCTACTAACGATGGCCCAGTTACGGCCTTTGATGATGCCTTATCACTGGATAGTATACAGTGGGACAATCGGTTAGCAAAAAAAACCAAGAACTCATTTGACAGGAGTTTTCTCGTACATCTTTCTGCCTATTTCAACGATTAAGGACTGAATATGCTTCAAGATGGCATTTAAGATTTCGCCTTTAATGATGAATGGCTCGTCGCTTTCAATCCACAACGAATCTGGTTCCTCAGCTTGCTATGTATTGGTTGAAGTCCTGGACTTTAATAATTCTCGTTTCTAGAATGGGGTCCGCATTCGAATTTCATTCCGAATCGTAGCAGCGTTTTGTATGTGGCCTTTACAATGACTTGTGGTGGTCAGCCGATATACAAGACAGTCCTTTTATCCTCCTGGACAAGTTTGTTACCAATTAGCTGACCATGAAAGGATGGAAGTCCTGGTCTTTCTGAACGGGTATTGATCCGGGATTCGATCCCTGGACCATACGAGTGATAGCCTGGAAAGGTAATTAATTATGGTAAACTTAGTAAACTAATAAAAACATCGAATTCGTTAGTATAGAGTAGCACAAATGATGGGGTTGGGAACACTCTAGCCTTGGATTAGTTGATCACCATCAGCCATTACAAGGCCAAATACCGGACACTGTTAGTACTAGATAACAAATTATTCAACGAATACCAGTAGAGAGTGCATATGATTATTGTGAGTAGATACGTTTCCAAATGGAGAATTATTTATTCAAAAGTGTTAATCAGCACTAATATGGCTATTTTTGTTGTACGGAACAAAAATGACAGAAAGCTTGGAAAACAATCCTTCCGTATCGTCTCAGAGTTAGGCGTCATGGACCTCACTTCACACTTCTAGGAGAAAGCTGTACAGCGCTAGCATTTGTGGGGTGATGCACGGCGTATAAGTAAATATAAACAGAGTTGTTAGCGAAGAGGCGTTAGCGCTACACAGTCCTTACAGTCTTTCAATTTCGATCTTTGTCTCCATGTAGATGATGGAAAACATCAAGCAGAACGGTCGAAACTTCCAAGGACGGGCACAGCTGCAACAATGAGATATTAAAATTCCTTGGGGATAGATATGAGCTCATAAACTCTTAAAAATTCCCGCTACGCCATGGTCATGCTCTGTCTTCTGATAGTTTTTCATGTTCTCCTTTTGCTCCCGCTCGAGCGACCATTGACGTCACCTCTGCTTATCATTTATTATCAATTATGACTGACAACCGTTTATGTGACATATTGTGCCAAACATAGGTAATAACCTACACTGAAGAAGCGGCGGCGATTGTCGCTTCTTCTCGCCATCGCGCCATGATGTCCATGATCTTGTCGTATTCTACTCCACCAGAACCACAGAACGGTCAAAACGGTGAATTACTGAAAAGCAATTACCTACAGTACTGAGTGCCATGTCTAAAAGCAATCCGACTGATCTGTACTGTAATTACCTGCGTTCAAAGTAATGAACCTTAGACCCAGTGAAGAATTTATAGGATATGTACTGTAACGAAACTACATTATATGTATTCGAATATGGTAACGACGTTCTTCACAGACAAAGGAATTCCAGAAAACTCTGCCACGTGATGGAAGGCAATAAGTTATTTTATGTACGTAAACAAAAACTAGAATTCCATTTTTAGTACAATATCTCTACAATCTGAAGCATGAGAAAGTCCACAGTGCAAAGGCATGAATGTGAGTTATAAAAACAGTTATTTCATTATTGAAAACCTACAAATTCAGGTAGGCTCATCTCTGAAGTAGTAGGTAAAGTGAAGAAGACAGCAGGGCAGAAAACAGTTGAGCTACAAAGTCTCAAAACGAATAACATTAAGGCATTGCAATTGAGAAGAATAAAATTACTCGAGTAATTCACTGAGAATGTGTCATGTTGGAAATGCGCCATTTAAAGAGAAAATTACAGTAATGGAAACATCTACTTCTTAAGGGCTATTGAGGGTGAATTTCACGATTTCTCTCAAAAATTAGTACTTTTAGAAATTAGCTCACAGTGTATATTTTGGGGAGAAAATAGTTCCAATAAAAATTCACAGAATCATCGAGATACGTAATGCGGCTGTAATACAGACACTCGAATCGATGACAAATTTACAGAGTATTTCCATAATATCTAGTAAACAAAACTTTGAAATCTGGCCAACGTTTGTAAATCTTTTTCGGATGATTCGAGACAACTATCCAGTGTGCTAGTTTTAGCCATTCCAAAATTATGAATTAGATTTTTTGAAGAAAGCTGCTAGTTTTCGGAAATGTTTCTCAATCCATTTGACTCTGTGTTCCGATCTTTCTATTGCCCCACCAAATGCACCGTATTCACGAGCACGCTTGTCATTTTTGTATAGATTCTTCAACTAAAAAAGAACATTTAGTTTTTGAAGACTTGAGAAGGGCGAACCATAGCTACGTTAGTTTTCAACGCTTTTTTTCGAGTACCACCACAACTTTCAAAATTTTTAGCCACCGTGCTACTTCAATTTTGGAATTTGGTTTCACTCTCCCTTTCCTACGCTTCATAACTGCACGGCTGAATTAATGCTCATGCTATTTTTAAGCTTATTAATACAAATAGTTCACAAATACTCGATAATCATAACCTGTTGTACTTGTTCCCTGGATCGTAGTCCTCGAGTACAGGCTTTGATCACTCGATCAACTGATCTGTGTCGTATTGACAAACTGGAATCAACAAATGCTTTACGTCATTGATAGGCTGTTAAACTCACTCGCTCAGTGAATCCGAATTTGTCATACAAAGTTAAAAGCTTAGGCTTTTTTAATCAGGGTTGGGATTTTCAATAATTTCTTGAAAGTTCTCCTTCGGGCCTGACAAATGCGCTTCAGCAGTATGACGATGATACTTAACTTAATTAGGTGGAACTGCTGCGAATCCAAACTGGTAAGTAAAAAAGGCTGCATATATCGATGGAATTAAGATCTGAGTATCTGAGTTCATATTTTCTATAGAAGTTGTATAGGATATCCCAGTCAACTAGCAGGATAGGTGATTTTCACGACTTTAACCGAGACTGGTCCTAATTAGTCATCTGTGAAGGGATAAAAAACCGGTCGGCTCTAGAAATAGGCGGCTATGCAACACTGTATAGTAATGGATGAATACGAAAACAGCAGGCATATTCCCCTAAAGAGAGGATCAGGCGCTTGCTGCGTTAGGGCTGACCGAAAATTCTTGTTGGGTAGGATTCTCTGAAGAAGAAGGAAGAAATTAAAGAAGAGAAACCCAACAGCATCGGCGCAAGAATAATGGGTAAGTCGAGTCGAAGAGGAACTGGTATAGGAGTTCGATCTTATCGTGATCCAGTTAAGAAATTGAAAATCAATTTCAAAAGAGTGAAACTAACTACTTCGTGAAACCGGCTTCAGGAACAGAGAATCAAGCCCGTCAACGCAATATCGCAGAAGGTTTTGGGCATCTTCGCATCCACCATATTTTCAGAAGTACAATGGTCAGTATTGGTGTGTTTACCACCTTGTAATGGGGTAATCTGCCCAATACCTCAGGTCACGTTTGGAGGAAACTTTTGATATGGGTGCTTCTAAGCGAAAGGTTTCAGTCAGGACCCACTCGGCATCTTTCTGGGATATACATTTAGGCAGAAAATTCGAGGGTTATACTTATGTTTTTTAAGGCCACAGCTTCAAATGACGCTGGCAGAAGGGCTAGTTAAAGGCACCGTTCACTTAAATTTGGGTAATCCAGATTATGATGAAAAATGGAAGACAAGATGGAAACTAGTGCGACTGAGGTGAAGAAACTGCGTGCATCGGTGTTTCCAAAGTGAAAAAAAAGGCTTCGAAAAACCGTTAAAAAGGGGGCTGGACGAGAATGAAACAAGAAAAATGAAGATGGTGGGGCGTCCGGACGAGCTAAACAGTACGTTTCACTGCGCGCGTGTGGGTCCTGGTGCGAATAACAGACAATGGTAAGCCAAAATTCACTCACTCATAAGCACAAATAAACAAAAAAACCCTAGTAGCAGCAAAAGTAGTTCACCTTTTTCAGCCTCTAGGAGTAGGGAATTAAATAAGGGATCGCGCCAGCAAAAAGAAAAACAGAGGAAAAAAGAATGGGAGAAAAACATCGCCTCATCACTCGGCGATTAGCTGATTGTGCGTGGGTCCTAGAACGAATAATAGCTATCCGTATTGTCTCGACACTCGTCTAAAGTGACACCGATCGAGAGGCGGGAACGCGAACTACGGCAGCAACGGGGCTTCCACTATGCCCTAAGCGCCGAGATTGTGGAAGCGAGATGGTCCCTTCTACCACCCATGGGGGGCGCTGAGTATTCCTAAAGGAAGAACTCAGTAACCTTTTTATCGTGAACGGTGCCTTTAAGTATTCTGACAGATCATACTCTTGCTGTGAAGATCTTTCATTTTTTTTTTATTTCAAGTTTTGCAAAATACCTTTCAAGTATCTCTTCCCATCGCTCTGTGAGGAAATTGAACAGCAGTTCGTTTCCAACAGGATTTCTGGATACAATGTTAAACACATCATGAGCATCTTGAAGACGCACAAATGACGAATTCCGATCCAAAGCCAGCATAAGAAGTCTGAAATTCGAGGACTGTATTTCAATGATTGCTCCAAAATTTTACAGATAAACATAGAAATCACCCACTACGACTGTTTAGGATCTGTACAAATCGCCTGAATATATATGGATAGGAATTCATTTGCTGTGTGACCAGCTTGAGGTGCAACCAGGGTGTTCCTTGTGTATTTCGAATGACCTCACCCCTTTAGAGCAGTAACGTCTTTATGGCATCCCAATGCTTCACGTAGACTGTCTTTCTCCAACTGGACTTGTTCCGCATTATATAGTTCCATCACCTGAAAATGAGCCATTTGATAGCTATTCTGATTTCTTATGACTCGAAGGCTTATACGTTTCAAAATTTTTCAAAATTGGTGTACAGTACACATGTGTCTTAGAGGTCTCGCAAGTCCCCATGGGTCCTTCAGTGGCGAGGGTCCCACCGGGGTCAGTTCAGGTAGTGCTTTCATTGTCATCTGCTGCCAGGTCCGTAATGGCTACCTCAGCCAGACTCAGTTTATCTCTTTATTGCTACAGTGAATTCCGACTTCGACCATTTTTCTCCTTGGGTCATTGTTGGGATCTTCGTGAATCCCGAGCCCCCCTACAAGCTATGTCTTACATATCAAAATCGCCCGTTAAATTCAGCGGCTCTGTTGGGCATCAAATCAATAGGTAGCTGGTATTTTGGATATTTTGAATCCTAGGTGAGATCCTTGGTTTTCGCTTGTGAATTCTATGATGAATGTGAGATGAAAGAACTTAAAAACAGCTTACCTTGTCGAATGCCTCATCACCGCCTTCCTGGACTCCATAGCAGTAAACAGTTTTTCGGAGAGGAGCAGTTACCCTTAAAAGGTAATCACAACATATTTACCGTAAAATATAAAAACCATCATGACCTGAACCATAAACAAGCCCAACCATACTCAAGGAACAAGGAAGTTTCGACATATGATACATTTACTCCCGTGGATACTAAGTAGAGGGTGATATGGGAGAAGTCCCTTAAAAGTTTGTTCCGAGCTGAAAACATCAGGAAATGCAGCCATGTGTACTATGTGGGGAAACCAGTACAAGGTGTCAAAAAATTTCGAAAGGAAAGTAATTAAAACGACTGGGGAACGAGGCAACGGAGAACATTCGTGTTCATCTTACGAGTTTCACATTCTTTCTCAGCCCACTCTTATCAGTGCCCCGAAGTACTCGTCAGATGGGATGAGCAGATAATGCAAAGAGATACCAAAGAGTTAATGCCCAGCTTATGCCGACACATGGAACAATCTATGGGGAAAACGTACGTCTACGGCTCTGTCTCCCATACTAAAGAGGTGAAAGGTCAAGTGGAATGTACAGGTCGCTCTTACTTTATTTGACTGTCTTCTCGATAGGAAGAATTCTTCCTGGAACGTTTGAACCAGAGAATCAATTTGTTCCCCATATCTTGAAGTACCATTACTACTAAGAATAATTGTTCGAACAGGACGTCCCGAAACTTTCTGACCAATTTGGTGACCAGCATCTGATTTCCCATTGACTAGTTACAGCACAATTGAGGCCCCTTTCTCTTCAAGACCCTTTTGTAAACATTATGGTGTCATAGCGCTGGTGTGTTTATGGTTCAGAGTACAGTACTATCTATCACGTAGAAGAGAGTTCGAGAAATCATTACTTCGCGCAGTCGGTCGCCTGCTGACCAGGTCTACATTTTTTCATGACCTCTTCGTCGAAAAGCTTTTTCATTTCTTCAAGACATTCCTTGCCTCCGAGAGCACAGTATGTGCTAATAACAGCTATTTGGAGATTACTGAAAATCGCGAAATCAGGAAAAAGCAAAAACAACGTTATTTAATGTTTTCTACCTTTCCGCCTTTCAGGTTTCTCATGGTAGAACCGCTTATTTGGTCAAAATTCTAAATAAATCGTCGTCTTTAAGGATGTGGAAATACTATGGAAGTCCTTATTTGTGGCTTCCCCGATGAAGATTTTTGAGGTATTTCCAGATCCTGAAAGACGACGGCCAAACGCCCCAACGCGCTTCCAACAACTGCCAGAACTCGATCACAGAGAATCAACCTTCTGCGGTCCCACTATCATTGATGTCTAACTAGATTAGTGAGTAGTTGTAAACCCTTTGCGGTCGTTAGACAAGAATTAATCCGTGATTTCAAAGCCCACAAAAGTTGTTCACTCCTAGATCTTCCCTAGAAACTTCATAAATAGGTGGATAAAGCTTACTTTTTGAAGAAAAGTTCATCTTTCTTGTAGTTCTCCGCTATAAACTTGATGCTACTCTTGTCATAAATTGGCTTCATCAATTTTCGCATGTATTCCTAAAAGTAATTTTTATAAATGACCTAGAATACGTTGGCTGATTTAATCTTATGAAACTCACCGAAGCCCATTGAGATTCGGGTTCGCTGCCGAAAAAGTCCAAAATTGTATTGAATCCTGATATTGCTTCTTTCCATGGTAAGTAATCCTGGAAAGGACCCGTACGTCTACGAAACAGTCCACGAAATAGTAATTTTGAGGAAATTTTAAATCTCATGATAACCTCTTCTTTCACGGTGTATTTGAGCATTTCAAATACGGTCTCGTAATCCATTTCCTCAACCGCAGCCGCTGCGAACGCATCGCTTATGAGAGCGTTTCTTGTTCGTGGATCATAGACCTAAAGAAGTGATTCCAATAAAATCAATAAAATAACACTTTGTTGAGGGGGGAGGGGGAAGGTAATCACCCGATATGAAGCCTTAGTACCCCAACCCCCGAAAATGGCCCCCGTGACGCTTCGTCCACCGTCTGTAAAATCTACCACCTCCGAGGAGGGTACAGAACTCAGATTAGGCCTTCTTACAGTGAANGGGGATCAAATTCGAAATTATTTATGTGAAGGAGGAATTGGAAACGGTGGAACGGAAAAGGGGACAACCTGTAAGAAGTTCAATTTCCACATATACGAGGGACTAGTAAGTTCACTTCGAGAGATATTGGGGCACTATAATAAGTTCAAGGGCTTGAAAGAGTTGCGATTGAGGGCCCAAACTCGGAGATTTGAGAGTCACTACGGAGGAGTAGAAGGGATTGTCGGAGTACTGAGAATCGCGGTCTATTCCATGATCAACCAAGCTGTTGAAGATCCTTACATTGTGGTGAAGCAGTTATGTCAAACTACGATTCTGAACAGAAGTCTAGGGTGGGGCGCGTTCGAAAAACGGGATTGATCGACGCAGGAGACTATTTTCTTACTCCTAATCATCTTGGTGTGTGCTAGAACTCTTGCCGAACCTTGTGATTCTGTTTGAGTCTTCTCATAATGTTCCTCCAACCGTTAGCGTCATAATTTGATCGGCAAAATGCACGACGTTCGGCATTCACTACAACCGACGAATCAGAATTGCTTACATGGAAGTAAAGCGGTTCCTCTGAAATAATCACAAATGATTGCCAAATCGATGAAACTCTCAAAATCAGAAAACAATATCGATCGCCGCGGTGCAATATGAAAATAAGATTTTGTCGAAAAAATTAGACTAGAATCCATTTCCCCACTGTTAACGACTAGACAAGCATTGGGCTGTCGATCCATTGAAGCAAGGTAGTCCTGCTTTCCTGATTCCCCAAACTTACCAACCCTCAACCCTCAACCCTNCCCCCCCCCCCCCCCCCCTCCCCTCCTTCACCACACCTGAGATCTCGCTCAGATCAGATTTCTCGAGAGGACCTTTTGTTCATCATTCCGGGTGATTAATTATAAATTGCTATCCTATCGAATACATGTTGGGCATATTTGATATTTTTGCTGATGGGTACAAACTGAAAAGGCGTTCACGGCATTCTAGAGCTGCTTACCTCTTTTTAACCAAGTTCGTTTCACTTGTTGTTCATCTTCCTGATACCACAAAGGAACATCCCATTTGAACCTAAAAGTTACCCATTCTGTGTACCAGATCGATTAGAAAGAAGTTTAAAGATATGAATCAAATTGAGATTCGGGGGTTTCTTTGAAAACCCCTGAACTCTTTTTCTCTTTTGTTGAGGAGAGCTATCATATTTTCGGAAGGATCCTCCACATCCGACTCACTGGGTATTGGAACCATCGATAAAGGGCCTCTTTGAAGTTAGAATAGAGGATCCTCTGAGATCAATGAGATTGAAGTCAAGTACTGATTGGTCTCTAGCTGAACATGGGCGGCCATTGGAGATCCTTGGTGAGCACATTTTTCCTTTTCTTCTACTCGAAAGTGGCACCATCTGATCCGGTTTTTGAACTTTTCATATAAATTGTTGCAGGAGATACGAGAGAATTCCAAACTATTTCGCAAACAGTGGACGAGTTGTATGAAAACAGTATAAACGCTCACCCGTAAGTTGGATGACGGTACTTCTCTGGTTCCTTTGCATCCTTGTTCTGCCTGTATCGCTTTTGGGTGACTTTCAAAGTCGTTGCGTTAACCGACTCGACAGTAAGAACAGGGAATCCCATCTGAAATACCCACACTGACACCATGGTTTTGAAAACCTTTCAAAGTAGAGAGATGGTTTCAATATGAAGCGTTCTCCATACGTATTGGTAATACCCACCTGAGTTGTCCATTGTGGCGCAAACTCGGACATTTTCAATGGTCCACCATTAGGTCCGGTTATACCTTGGACGGTTTCGTCGAATGCTGCCCATAAATCTTCAGCAGCCGCATTATCATATGAAAACTTCTTGAGGTAACGCTAAAATCACAGCTTTCAGGCAGATTCTCCCACTTGGTCTATTACTGTACTGGTCTCCCATTTGGTCTATTGCATGTTGGTAACTGTAACCCACCGAAACAGACTGCTTAAAGTTTTCGTCTCCAACTAAATTCAAGAGCATTTGAAGAACGGATGCTCCTTTACGGTATGTGATATCATCGAATGCTTCCGATACATCTGCAGCCTTATCTATTCTGAAGGAAAGCGGATGGCTTGAAGCTACTGCATCAGCCGTAATACCACTTGTATACGGTGCCAGCAGGAAGAAATCTTTCTGTAACAGCCTGTTAGTGTTGAACCGTATGCGACCGCTTTAGAAGGAGAGTAAGCCATACCATTTCCCATAGACCATCGCTGATGAAATCGGCTCCAATGTATTCTACGAATGACGCGAATCCTTCGTTTAGCCATAGGTTATCCCACCACTTCATCGTGACCAAATTACCGAACCACTGAAAAATGGTTCTCAAAAATGCGACTGAAAGCAAACCATTTCATCGATGGCCTTCAGAAGCCTGGCGTTCTCTTGGGAGCCTATGCAATGATCTGAAGAGCTCTTGATCCCATCCATATGCCATTATCCTGCCCTATATTGTTCTGCCTACTGTTCAGCTCGGGCCGGTGGGTCTCAGCGGTCTCTACAACCTCTGGGATTTCATCTGGAGCTCAGGCTCATTTTACAGTCTTTTCTTGAAGTATTTGAACAAATCCCAGAGATTAAGAAGAAATGAATTGGCTTACACCCATACTCATAGTGTGGCTTGGCTCTCTGGGTACCTATTCAAGCTTTCGGAAAGGTGGTTTGTATTCAGCCCTCAGACGTGATAATATCCCAAGCCATACCTGATGAGCAAGCTCGTGTGCAATCACTTCTGCAACCCGCTCCTTATTCATTGGTCCGTAGAGGTTTTCATCGTACAGTACGGAACCCTCCCTGAAATATGATAAGAAAAAAGTTAGAAGGATTTAATCAACAAATCAGTGTTTCCAAGCTTTTGTAAAGGTTTCCTATGGTAGTCCCTATGGTCAACGAAGTAACGATAGCACATTCAGATACCTACTCCTCAGACTCGGACAACGTCGCTACCACCGACACCTACTGGGAAAGGGATCTCATCTATCCCTTGTCTTCTTTTGGCTGAATTGACGAAAAGGTGGTCTACCATTTGGAGAAGCAGCAAGACCACTCGACTTGCCAGAAGATTCACCTGTATGTGATGAGACCCCAGTTCTCCATAGCACCAGATGAGAAGTCAGGAAGAGCAACCATATCTAAATAGTTCAAGCATTAGAAATGATCATATAGGAAGGTTCCTATGGCTTCAAGAAAACTCAATCTGAAAAAAGTTTGCGTTTTTTTCTGAGCTTTAGTGAAACTTATTCTAGTAAATATCAACAAGTAATAATATGAATGGAGTAGATCCGAAGATTCTGATTAGATTCGAGCATGACCACAAACCTTGTTTTGGAAGCGGGAATTTGATCCCGAAGAAGTCCTCATAGTAATCCAAACATTTGATTCCAGCTTCCATGGCATATTGTGTCATGTTCATAGCTTCTGGACGAGCCCATATACGGAACTGGATTGATTATAGTAAGAGTACTGCAGCATTTCGCTAAGTTAATTGCTGTACCTTACCCGAACACGGCTTTTCGTATAACTTTCAATGTACTTGAATTCGGAAATCACAAGAGCAATCAGATATGAAGACATTCGCGGGGTTGGATCGAATCTGGTTGTGACCCAATCGCCAGAGACTTCTCTGAAGTACAGTTACGATCCACATAACGGAAAACTTGAAAAGACAAATAAAAATGTTTGCCACACAAAAGTTATGGTAGCAAATAGGCTCAGTTCATTTTTACATTGTCATGACGTACTGAAGCGAGCCTCTCGCTGCGTCAACCGCGTCAATGTGTCGCCCGCCGTGCGCGAAAAATTCGTGCGCGGCTAGCTACACGTTCTCGACATGATTCCGAATCTGAGAAAAACTTCATTATGTTCAACATTTACGCCGCACCTTAAAAGCACCTTAGAACCGCTTTCTTAGAAAGGTTCAATGAAATGACCGTACAATCGGGTCCCGTACAATCGGGTTCCTAACTGTTGAGGCTCAATTTGAGCAAAAACAGTGGGATTACTTCATAGTTGACTGGGGTCTTTCTGCTGTAGCCCCCATTTATTCCAACTATTAAAATATTAAAGTTTGTAGGCCCATTCGATAAGGGAAATATTCCAATTTTTGTCATCCGCTGAAGAAATGAATAACATCTGTTTCTGTAGGACAAACCGGGTTACCTGATTCCACACAATAGTATTTAACCCAAATAGCCCCACTGCTGCTATTCTGGAACGACCGTTCTTTTACTTCGAAACAAATTTACTGATTTCTAAGAAGGTCAGATCTCAAATCAAGACCCTGATGTTAGGCTTCACCCAACTGATCAAGCTAGAGGCCCTCCACAGCGTGACTAACTCCCTAACGGTTTCTAGAAGGTTGGGAATGGGTTACATCCCATAATTGTTACCAAGGAAGTCAAGAAAATATCAAAATATATGTATCTGTGTAAACCAAAATGACAAAAAAATACCCTTCTCCCTTTTCTATTCCATTTGACACGGCACTGGTGCCCTTCGGATGAATTACTGTCACGGTCCAATTTGCCTTAAACGTCGGCTCGTCGAAACAGGGGACCATAAGACGGGCGTCTGTCGGTTCCATATGAGTGCATGCAGCAATCCTTTAAATAAACAAAAAATCCGAAAACAGCATCTACCAAAAAAATTTTCCTATGTATTTTGAGAAAGAAGTACTTGAAAATGCCAAAATGCCCTCCTTTTCCCGCAGAATGCCATGGCGGCATACGATCAGAACATTCCGTGGGTTCCCATGGAACGATCTCTGGGGGCATTGTAGAAAATGAATTGGAATTTGGGGTATCATACCCGAAGGAGGAGATGGTTGGGGGAACGTGGTCACTCTCGCGCATGATGGTTCGAAATTTATATTTCAAGTCGATATCCGCCCAGGCCAACCACGCTTCCCATCTCTTCAAGGTCGGATGATTCCAAAGCCCGTCAATAAATATCATTTTCCCACGGAAGCATTAAAACAATGGCTTCTACATCGGATGGTCACGGATTGAAAAGGTGCATTCCAGAAGCGTTGGACCAAATGACGTCAAAACTTTTGCCTATTGCAGGCGCAAGGGTTGGGTTATCCGATCTAGGAGTTGATTTTTGTCGAGATATACCAGCCGGGATCCATCAATGGGAAGAGGGTGTGTTACCTGTCTACTATGGTCTGGCAGTTGTTCAAACTGGACTTGTGCCATAAAAAAGCAACCGAACATACTTAGTTGTACCATCTTTATCTGTATAAGTTGTTCGATAAAGTCCGCCAAGCATGTCGTTGATGAGACCAATGTATACAATCTAAACAATCAACCAAATATTAATGCTGTAAACAAGTTAAAGGAAAAAAATGGAAAAAATTCCAGAGAGTCCTGGGAAAATTCTAACCTTGAGCGTGATTTTCTGATTTTTCTCCAGCTTTTTCTTCAAAACGAACTCGACTTTCTCTAGCCTCGGCTGATCCAAAACTTTTTCGATGTCGAGTTTTTGATTGTTCTAAAAATCAACTTCTTGACAGCTCACTTCGAGGTCTGTAAAGTGGCTAGAACTTACAGAAAACAGTTCGCACTGGTCCGCAATTACAGAAATATTCTTTGAGTTGAGCACGATAGACTTCGTTGGCTCCACAACTTCCATAGCAATCACCACAGTCCCATCAATAGCGAAATCTTTTTCAGGTGGGTAGTTTACATAGTTTGGCAGGTACGTTTTAATTACTAAGTCGTATGTCACTGAAATGAATACTTATCGATCGATAGAAGTATGTAGGTTTGACTGAAGAGAAATCAAGCTAATTGTAAGCAATTCTTTTCAGGCAATTCCACTAGAAGCAAGTTATTGCGCTCTGTAGTTTAAAGCGAGCGATGTATGTCATGGCGATGTTCATGATCCCCTCGCCCGAGTGTGAAGAGAATATCAAGCCTGCGTGTCACATAATATAACGTATACGAACGCTAGTAACCTAAGCAACTTGGCCGGTGGTAATCAAATAGGTTGGCGCTTGAAAGGGTGGATTAGAGGTAGTGTCGAAGTAGTGCTTTTTTTAGGGTTTGCAGGAATAATTTGGAAAAATATAGAATCGTCAGAAACAGTTTGTGACCAAAATTGGAAGTATACTTACAAGGTTTTATATTTGTTGGGAGACGTAGTTCTTCAGCTGATGGGGAATTATCATCGACAACGGGTTGATCCCTGGAAAGAAGGGAATTCAACTTTCTGGTGAAATCGGCAGGTCTTTAATGAAGGACCATAAAGATGATTTGCTGAATGTCAGATTACTTGAGTTGAGATGCGCCACATATCTAGTCTCTATCCAAAGTTTTGATGTGCGCAGGTCGTTCCTTACCGCCGTTTCTCACGACTTATTGGTTTTAGCATTTCAAAATTATACAAATATAATTGACGAGCTTACTCTTTTCCATTTCCACCAGTAGTATCAAAGGCTTTCCGTGTAAAGTAGTAGGTCAGACCGATTGAGAGGCCGACGGCAGCAGCTACTACTAACAAAGCAAAGAGAGACTTGATTGGGGTGAGCCGTAGCACTGCATTTTTTCGCGGTTGCTGCGTCTCCTGCTCCTGACCCTCCTCTGCTGTCATCTGAATGTTCTCTTCTCAACTGATTTGAATATTGCCAAAGGCGAAACAATGAAAACTAAAAGGAGATTTTTCAAAATTGATTAAGTTAACGTGATGTGAAACTGTGATGATGGGTTTTTCTAGAAGCTGTTAAAATCAACATTGAAATAAGCCTCTTATGGAAGAAATCTACTGCAGAGAAAAGAGAGATTATTGAAGATGGTAACATTGGTAGAGTACGTGGAACACGAGGCGGGTTTCATAATTCGGTGAACATCGCAAATGATTAGAGATAAGCCTTCAGAGAACAGTTGGTTTTAGGTGAACTTCGATTTGACCTTTATTCCAGCAGTATCGTTCTTACTTAGCAGTACTCTGATTCCACCATGAGTACCGTTGGTATCAGAGCCATACTTGTTACTATACTTCAAAATAATGCACTGGCTTCGCCAAAAAAGCGAAAGGTGTATTTCAAGAAGCGTCTGCATTTGATCCGAATAAGAGTTTTGATGGCTTGACGACCCTGACTGGGAGACTTTTGAAGAAAATTGTAAGTGTGTGCATCAGGGATTAATTATTACTTCTTCATCGAACATTATTGTTCAGTCCACTATATCTGCTGATAGTTGATGATACTTCGTTATCCAATAGGGTAGGGAAGAACGGAGAAATAAGAAGGGGATTCGGCAACTTCTCTCCGGAGTGCAACGCGCCATTCATCCAACCTACTCGTGACCGTAACTGTAAATGATTGCACATGGGAAGGGAGGATACGGGAATATATGGAGAGGGAGGTCAATCAATGGAATGAATAGGGTTCCCGTAGAAAAAACGATTGTTTAATTCAAGAAGCATTTCAAAATGGATGTCGAACCATCGGGTGAGAACGATTTCCTTTCCTACAACTCCTCATTACCTTTCCGTAAAACCTCCATTTGGCTGTTCCACACTTTCATTTTCAATGTATAGCAATGGTCCCGGTACAAGCAATACAGGCTCCTAATTTTACTATCTTCTACTAGGGACCAGCTCCAACTCTCGGCGGTTATTACTCAGTCATTTAATTGCTTGTTCATGACTGGGCCAAGAAAACAGCATGCACCGAACGAACGTAGTGGGGCACCGTAGTCGAAATGGTAGGAGGGGGCAGCGCTACCAACACTAAAGAATGGGCCGTGGATGAAAAAGTATTTGAAAGGCAAGCTGTTTTCTTCCATGAAAGAACATCAAGATCGATTAATAGAAGTTTTTGGCTACCGTTGAACTAGCATACCTTGCTTTTGCATCCTATCGAGTTTTCATTGACACCATCGTGGCGGCTAATCTAATAATGAGGGTGTCAAAAAGGAATCATTCATGAATAATTCCGTGAAAACATCCCGATAAGAACCCATCAAAGGATAAAAAGCATAGATGCCATCAATGAGGCAGCATGGCTGAGCTGATAGAATACATTTTTTTCTGAGGGAATTTTTTGTAAATTAAGGACAGAACACGTGAGCAGTTTGATGTGAAGAAATTCTAGGGATGTGCTTTTATTCATTCCCCAAGTATGACTTCAACACATGCTTCAGAATTCAAGAATAAGTCATTTTTGGCAAACTAGGTGATAGGATTTTTGTAGTTTTGACGTAGGTTTGACAGAATGTTACTTTTTCACCTAAGAACCGGCTGTTTTTGATGGTTAAATAGAGCATGTACCAAAATCACTGCAAGAGCTTTTTCCACGACTTCAAGCAGACAAAATGGGCAAATTGGCAAGCGGAGAGCTTGACAGCTCATTTGGGCGGAGATGGTGTAGAGGAAAGAGGCGTGCTATCACCCGCGCCCGATCCGGGGATTAAATTTTGGATTGACACTCGGGTAGGCCAACGGAAAGTTTAGCCAACAAAAATGTTCATCCCTACAGGGTCGGATAATTAATATTGGACTTGTTTGAAGGTATAAAAGCAACCGCTTGACCATTGGCTGACCACGCTATTGAAAAGACGTCGTATACGATTTTTACTAGAAGTTACGTGCTGGAGGTCTTTTGACTTCACACGTCTTTTGGCCCGAATCAATCTTGAAAACGGGACTGATTGGGGCCAAGAGACCTTGAAGCTTTATTTGTTTATTTATTCTTTACATGAGTAAATTGATATGAGAAAGAAAGGTCGATAGAATACATATCATGCCCACAACAGATTTTTGTTAACGTTAACTGAGAAGCGAGAAGCACGCTCTTTTCAGAAAAAGTTTATCTTTTTAGTTATGGCCATTCTTAGCGATAATGAGCTGCTTTGCGTTTTTACAAGCCATCAACGTGACTCCTTAGACAACTAATACTTGGCGCCGACTTACGCAATACGTAGAGGGTGCACTTACTGGTCCCTTGAATCAGGTCATTGTTTGCCGGTCATGGTGATGCTCTGTATTTTCAAAAAATAGTGGAGGATTTTTCACTTTACTTCGAGCATCTGGTATACACCCAGAACATTAGCATGTCCTTGAGTCAAATGATGTCATTTGGGAGGATCGCAGGGGTGTCGGGTAATGGGTTGGGAGGCTCAAGCAGGAGTCGCGGAAAGCCAAATCGTCAATTTCCAGTGAATGGGCCTTTTATAACCGCCCTTTCAAAACTAACAAACTTCCAAAAAAACTACGAAAATGATTCACTCGAGCAGGATGGGCAGTACATATTTGCGTAAGAGATGAAAGGATGACCCCAAGAGGAGCAAACAATATTGTATATAGGTATTCATATAGTTACAAGCGCAAAGAGACACTTGAAATTTTCCGAATTCCTTCAAGCAAGACCACGACTACTCTGAATTTGTGCAGTTTTAATTGTATAAAGGTAACGGAGATGACCTTCCCGAGATACCCCGCTTAGTAGTATGTAAGCATGTATAATCTGTTCGCAATCGTAGACTAGCTTCAATCTGGGACCCTTTCTCCACTTTTAAATCCCCTGAAAAGGAAGCAACTTTTCTGAAGGTTCATGACCATCTAGTGATTTCTGGTGAAGACCTAAACGTCTAATTTTCTAAGCCTTATCATGACTCCCCGCGAGTACGCACGACTTTTTATTTCAAGCCCCAGGGAAAATGAAAGAAATTGAAATCGCGCTCTAGTTTCGTCCAAAACAGGCTCCGACAGTCACTTTCAACTTTTGCTACGGGTTCAGCTTCAAGACGTCTGTATTTACGTAAGAGCCCTTAAAGTAAACTGAGAACAAACAACTCCTAAGACATTATAATGGCAGCTTCTTTTTGATGTCACAATTACTTCTATCTGTAACCACGCAGCAGTTCATCATTAATTTACCGAATTGGGCTGTCTACAAAACCAAAAAATCTTTTGGAATCTGGATTCTTGCCAACTACATAGTTTTCTATCCTTTACCTTACGCTGACTCCTACAGTAGTTTCTTGAAGATACCACCCAATCAACATATGATATTTCTGTTCGTTCCATATTGACGAGAAAGCTGTCTAGAACATTCGGTATCAGTTGACGCTACGATTATTCGCCTAATAGAAGTCTCAGAGAGATATAACTTGTTATAGATTACTTTCATCCAATGACATCTATAATCTAATACAGTGTACTACCGCAAAAGAAATAATTTTCAAAAATCTAGAAATAGAGCCTAAATTAAATAGGAGGCTATACTCCTCAGATGTAACCACGACCTTGGTTAGAGACTGGAAAGAGGAAAATTCGTCTATATAAGCACTTTATTTCTTCTAGAATTATCACTAAATACTACCGTATCTCTTTGCAGATTTACAAAACCAAAAAATGTAACATGAATTAGACGTCACTAGACTCAAAAGGGTTATTACATCTGAGGAATCCTGCCAATGGCTTGTAAAAAGGCAAACTATTCTCTTATCATTCAGTTCGCTTACAATTCACTTTGTCTATTGTTGATATCATGGAAGAAAAAAGTCGATTCCTATCCTCTGTATGTCATGGCCTCAAAGTACGGACGAAACTCCAAGTAGCATCTTCTCTGCATGAGATTCGAGAAGGCTCGCAGAAGCGATTCTGAGACAGGCCCTTAGCTCGGAATGTCTCGAAAGGTGACTCAGAGGGCTGGTCGGCTGGCTACGGTGCACGACATTTTAGGAAGGACCCATTAACTCCAAGCATTTGAGCGGATTGACCGACGAGGAAAACACGTACATCGAACAGTTTCAGAAATGCGAAAATGGTGGTTAAAAGGTGGTGTAATGACTGCAAAGTTCGATTTGAACACAAGAGCATCAGGGATTCTTGAAGTTCAGGAATTCCTGATGGTCACCATGACGGAATCGGTAGCAGAAAATTCGCTACTGACGATAGAGGTGAAAGGCCGGATTAAGAAACTCTCTTGGGGGCCTGAATTCTCGACAGCAGCGAATGACCACTTTTACTCGAAGAGTTCAACGAATTGCCGAGGCATATAGTTGCAATTTCCATCCCAAAGGACGTCTCCTCCAGGTGCATAACCCAACCCATGAGCTCGGTCAGAGCTATGTGATCGCACATGGAATTCACTGAGCTCCGGTGTTAGAGAGGCTACTTGCGCACTGTTCCACCCACCACTACATATTCATAGGACTCCTTTTAGCAACCATTTCTGAGAGGTACTCCAATCAGCTTGGAATTGAACTCGCAAAGAAGTTGGTTATAGCTTTTGGAGCGGAGCTGAATGTTTTAAATTGAACCAGCTCACGACAGCTTTATTCACCGTGGGGAATGGAAAGAGTCGTACGAAGTTTTGCGAATTCATGCTGAGGCTTAGAAATCTGGACTTCTACATAATTCACAATATCGAAAACGGGGGAGATTTCCTACCTTTTATGTTTGATAGAATATTTTAACCAGGAGTCTGACTTCTACTGCTGAGGGTGATCCTGTAAGGAAACACTGATGGAAGGAGACCATCATCGACAGTGACAGTTCGAGCCGCAGTAATGGACCCTGCTATGCCTCTTACGATCTTGGCGGGGTAGTAGCCTTCTCGTCCTAGCTATTCTCCCCTCTCTAAT